TATATATCTCCAAGAAATGGGAATGGATGCATGGAATAAATGGGAAAGTATTCACAAAGAGAAGTTCTTCATCTAAAAAAAATGTTCAGCTAAAAGATAATAAAATGAAGCAAGCAGGACTTGTGATAGAGGTGATATCTTTTATTAGGCCAACTAGATTTTTGCAAAAAAAAAATTCTTTAATTGCAAGCTTCGCATCAGGCATCAGAGATAAGATTGTAAAAGTTCTCCTCGGTAGAAATCAAAGCTCATATTTCATAGGAGAGTTGAAAATGTGGTAAAATCTCCTGTTTGGAAAAGTTAATTTTATATGCAGATTAGGCTTAGAGAACAGTTGGAATAATCTGTTTACCTTTAAGTTATTTGTTGGTAAGCCCAACATATTTGGAGACAGATTCATTTTGTTGCGTGATGGCTGAGTCAGAGCTGCATGGCAGATCCTCAGATGGGGCAAATTGTTCTTGCTCCACGGAAGTCAGTACAGCTATGAAAATTCACACCAGCTGAGCAGCTGTCTGCAAGTGCAGAACAAGAAAATGCTGCCCTCCAAGCACTAAGGAGGATTTGACACTTAAATTTCTTGTTACTTAAATGACTTCCAGAAATCAAAGCTCCAGAACAGAGGTTCTCAAACAGTTTGGCGTCATGTCCCCCTTTCAGTTTGTCATTCTGCTGCACACCCCTATGAAACCATACAATGGGTAATAAAAAAGTAACCTTGTTATGCCCCTACAACCACAATATAGCCTCTTCAACAACCCAAGAGACATTTAAAGCTGTTCTTCATTTTTCTTTTTTCCCATTTATATGTCCCCTTTTCTTTGTTACACTCTCTCATCCTTTCCTCTTGTATACCTCTAGACATTTGCCTCCAGGGATGCATGTACCACAGTTTGAGAAACACAGATCTGGAATATTTAAGCATAGACTTTTCAGTCAACAGATTTATATGTAGAGCCATATACAAGCATTTAATTTTACAACATCTCCCTAAGGTTGTATTCAGCTTGACTGGAATCCAGAACTGATGATTTTAGTTCATTTATTTTTACTTAGCTTAAAATTGTTATAAAGACCAAAAGATTTCATTCATCTTTCTAGCTTTCACGTTTAAACAAACTATAGAGAAGTTGTTCAGTAAATACTGTATTTGGGAAGAAAACATTTAACCGGAGTTAAAAAAAAAAGTTAGCTGTGTTGTGCATGTTAGCTTTTTGTTAATTTTCATGAGAAATATTAAGAAGATTCTAATATTAAGAAGATCCAATGCACTTATGATGAAAAGTGGTGATTCTTCCTTGCTGCTGTTTTCATGGGCGCAGAAGATCTTGGGGAATTTCTGCTCATTTTCAGCTCAAACTCTATTGGAAAGTGGTCACTCACTGCTAGAGCCTGGGAAGTTGAAAGAAAAAAAATAGTCATAGTATGTAGTATACAATACAGCTGCATTGTTGGATACCACTCTTGTCCCATGTAGTTGGTTGATATGACTGCATTTTCCAGACTTGGCTCTAGAGGTGGTTACATTTCAATGGTGGGTGAAGTCCATGTATAAGTCTTATGAGTGTTCAGGAAGAAGGTGAGATCAATTTTATAAATAAAGCATTGTACAGCAAGAGCAATATGAATGCTATTGTTTCTGTCACGCTGAGAGAAGTAGTTTGTTTAGTCTGAAGTTGGGCAGAAGATAGTAGCGGATCCAGGAATATGGCAAAGGGGGTGCAGCTGCCCACCCTGTTGGCTGTGCTGTGCATGTTCACTGCCCTGTCAGCGCAGAGTCTGGCTGGAGCCCTTGTTTTTCCATGCCTCTGGAGCTCAGGGATTGAACACTACTATTGTTCATCCTTCCCTTTCTTCCCCCTCCCCTCTGGACTCCAGAGCTGCATAAAAGCGGGAGCTCTGGCCAAATCTCAAGCTGAGAGTTCACACGTGCAGAGCAGCCAAAGCAGTTGAAACTGTGCCACCCCACCTCTGGAACCACCCCTGGCAGAAAGCAGGGCAGGGTGGGACCTTAGAGACTTGCTTGTTCAGAGATATGTTAGTTTTCACATGCAACAGCCTACTTCATCAGATGCTACGAATGGACTTATGCTGAGTGACTCCAGGCTGAAAGTCTTGCGGGAGTGTGATCATTTGACCTCACCATTTTGAAAATTCCTCTCTCCCATTCTACAGTGTTTACTACTTCCAAGAGACAAAACAGTCACGCACCTGCTGAAGCTGATGGTCCTCTCAGTGAACCCGCTGCACATGAAAACATTTTGGCATTGTGTGTGTGGAGTAGGAATCAATGTATTCAATGTATACCATCCTGAAATGGTCTTTGACTAGACCAATTCATTATTCAGTGCTGCAGAGGTGGTCTGTTAATGTAAAACCATGGAAGGATCACATACCTGTTCTTCAGTCAGATTAAAAGCATTCTGGAAATCAAAGATATGTGTAGAGCTTGGGACAACAGCGTTGATGAGCTGCTTTCCAGTGATCACAATTCTAAAGAAAGCAGAGAACCATTTAGATGTGTCCATCCCAACCACACCTTAGATATCTGTCTGATCAAAGCTAACTCTGATGTTGCGTGTCTACTTAGCAACATGTAACCAGGGCAATGGAGAAAGTGCAAACAACACTCTCACCATTAACAACTTCTCTGCTGCACGTTCTCAGTCCCAGTGTCCTGCATAGATCTTCAGGGAATCCCTAGATGTGTATTACTTGGTAATGTCGCATTCATGCAGGAAACAGAGCTAAGTGGATCTCCTCTCCACACTAAGCACTGAGCAGGGTTGCCATTCCTCATGATATTGCTGTGAACCTCACCAGCTGTAGTGTTCTTATAAAAGCTCCAGCACCTGAGACATAGTGATCAATCATAGGGGAACTGCAGCTTTCAGTAAAGTATCGTTCTTAGCCCTCGGGTTGTGGAGGAAAGCCTAGAAATGTGTCCTAAGTATGCCATAAAGGCTCACAGATCAGAAGGCAAAGGAAAAACGAACCCAAACTTTACATACAAAGGCTCTGATTTCCCATTCTTATAGGAGGACTGGGGCTCAAGTCCTTTGCAGAATCTGCTGCTCTTCCTCAAATTAAAGCCTTAGCCAGGTTCCTGATTGCTCAAATCTATGCCATTTACTAGACTCTAAAATCAATGTCCCCTTTCTCCCAGGAGAGCTCAGTCTGTTAACAAAAGCTGCATTTGAATGACTGATAAACACATAAGGTATGTTCTATTTATTGAACACCCACAAATATTGAAGGCCTTCACTATAGTGTTTCCCCTGCTCCAGCCACTGGTGGCCAGGCACTGGAAGACAGGCAAAGATCTCTGTCTGACTTATACCAGGGTCTTAACATGTGAGTAGTGTGGAACTACACCATATCTGGTGGCCAGCAGGGCAAATCCCCAGTATGGACAATGCCCAAGTCAGTGGGAGTTTGGGTTGTTCTATAACGAGGCTGGTCCTATAATGGCCATGTCATTGCTCCACCATTCACTGCAGTTGTCATGAGGGTTGCATGGTCAAGAGAAAGTTTCTTTCACAGTTCTGTTGGCTGTGGGATTCTTGCTGCTGTGAATGAACCAGGAAATGTAGCTCTGACTGTATTGGCAAAAGGGATGACTCAGTTAGAGCTGTCTGAGCAAACAGACAGGAGTGCTGAGTTCTAGTGCCGCAGGTTGCTTGCAAACACAGGGCTTTATTTAGAGCCAAATTGGATTTTGAGCCTTTGCAGAGCTTCACTGGCTCTCTCTGCTTGTTGCTGATCTCTTGGAAACAAGGTTCAGGGATTTGTCAGAACCTAATCCAGAGTGATGGGAAGACGCCGTGGATGCTGACATATGGAGGATGGGCAAATTGCCTCCTCTGCAAGACGAGTGCCAGTGCTGAGGCTAGAGAGTGGTATTAAGGAATCAGCAGGGAGAATAGCCTACTCCAAATTGTTGTCCCACTTGGTGTCTGAGGTGAGAAAATGCACCCGTTTCTCACTGCTCTGTGTATGTGCAGAGGAGTGGGGGAGCTTTGTGCACCTAAACACTCAGTCCTCAATCTCCCATTTGACAGGGTCCCCGCACATTGCTCTTTAATGGGACAGAAGAAAAAATGAACTATGCAGCAAATGTGATACAGTCTGCTTACAGAGGGGCTCCCAAGTCAGTTGTCTCCCTCTCCCCAGAGCTGTGCATCCACGTACAGCAAATCTATGCATCCGAACATTATCCTCCAAGTGGGATGATCCTGCCAAGAGCCCCTCTCAACTGACATTGACCCAATTACCTGTGTGCCGTGCTGGAGGAGGAACATCATGTAACCAAATGAGTTTTCCTTTTTTGTGCCCCCAAGGGGTGGAGGTGGGAGAAGAGCCACTGGCATATGACAAAATGCTCTATGAATCGGAAGCCTTGTTTAGTATGCTGAGGTGTTGCTTATTTAGGATGGGACATTTGTGTAAGGGGAAAAAAGAGCACAGATAAATTTTAGGAAGGTTGCTGGTTGCCTCTGGGATGCTTGGTTCAAACACCCATGGGCACAGCCTGCAAGTGTTGTTCATGTTCTACCCCCAAGCTGTGTTAGTCTATTTACTATTAGCTGGGTGATGCCAGGTAGATAGCTACTACATGCAGCAACCCCAGACCCGTTGCCTGGCTTTCAGGGCACAGTGGAATTGCTCCAACTCAGCTCTGGATGGAGGCTACTGTCAAAAGAATAACTGGGCAATTGCAAGTTCCCCAATCTAGCTGGAAATACTCTGCTCATAGTGTCATTTGTGGTCGCATCAGCTACTGTGATTTTGGATTTAAATCACAGCAAAAGCCCAGCACCTAAAAGGGAAGCAATCATATGGTCCCTAATTAGTTCTTTGGACTTGGATCCTCAGACAGATTTAGACAGCAAATTTCTGATGGTTTCATTGGGCATTAGGTACTCTGAGGGCCAAAACCTTGGAGCCCAGTATTGAAAGCTTTGTATTTAAACAAGCTATAATAATGTAGCAATTCAAAGCAGTAGTTTCAATGCATATATCACAGGACCTCAAGTATCTGAATTCCCTAAAGTCCCCCTTGATAAAGGAAATCAAAAGAGTTAAGAGTTTTTAAGGCTGTACTTGCTAATGAGCAGGATGTTTATTGTCCATAAACCATTCTGTTTGTCATAGGAGCATGGCTTGCCATCTGGAGCACTAGGAATCTTAGCCTTAAAGCAAAACCTGATTTTTGCATTTGTCATTTGAAAAGATAAGAGCAGTAACCAAAATAAGGAGCTTATTGTAACAGTAGATCCTGAAAACCACTCATTATTGATCAGGTTGTCTTTGCAGGGGTGCCTTTCACTTAGTTAATGTTTGTTAAAGCTCTTTGAAAATGCAAACTGCTATATAATTGCCTGTTATTCATCTCAGTGTATGGGTGTTTCTAATGCTGGTTCTCTGGGAAACTGCTCACCAATGAAACCTGCACGTTTCTTTGTACTTATGATTACAAGGATTCTTATCGCCCACTCCAACTGAGCTCTGCATAACCTTTGAAGCCATAACACGCAATATTTGAAAGACATTGCCAGCATTCTGTATAATCCCTTTAGGGTTTTTTTGAGCAGGGAGCATTTTGCAAGTGAACTATTATTACCTGTCATATGGGCATCTTGTGCTCCCTTTAACTGTTGTGTCATTGGTGTCGCCAATTAACCACACAAATTTGGATTGAGTTTTCAGCCTGATGTCCTTCCAGTGTTTTTTTGCAACATAGCCACAGCCAGCATTGAAGTCTCCCATGAAGATAAAGTTCTGGAAAGCAGGATGGTAAGAGAAGTTAGTGAAATCATCAGTAATAAATCCTTAAAGATACTATTTAAAAATCTCAATAAAAACAGAGGTTTCTGAGTACAGAAATAAGATTAATACAAAGGTCCTGATGCTTATCACAGGGAATGTATCGGGTCATAGTCTTTCAAGATGTAACTTCAGTGATATGCATGGCATTCAGAAGGGGTGTATTTTGGCCTAGTAGTAGCCTTTACTTTGATTTAGAAAGGAACATGATTGGGCTATTAGAATACAGAGAACTTCAACAAATCGTAACTGTCTGAAGGCTGGTCAGACATGAGATGGCTCCAACTCAGATATTTATCTCAGCTCATTCATCTGACCAGGATCCAGTTCTAAACTTACCTTGACATTTTAGACCCAAATATCCCCCAGAACTGGTGCCTCTGGGACATTCAGACACTAGATCCAAAACTCAGAACTTGTGTTCAGATCTGGCTTATTATGGAAAGTCTGAAAAGGCAGACACTGCTCCAATTCAGTAACTCTAAGGAGCCAAGGTTAACATTTGTTGGTTTGGTTTGGCTTCATGTCATATCAGATTACTTGACAGTGTTCTTTAAATAATAGTTTTTTCATGTTATTTGGGAAGCATGTGGGTGGAGGATGGATGTGTACATATGCAAATGTGGACATTTAGTTTAAAAAGAGAAAAAAATCCAGCAATCTAGTTAAGCTTCTGTATTTAATGGTAGAAGATATAAAAGGATTGTTTTAAAATATTATTTGATTTTTTTTTTTTTTTTTATGCTGGGGCTTTCCTTTGAGGAAGTTGTTTCTTTGCATGTAAGCACTGTGGTAAGGGAAGAACTGAAATGAAACCAGAACACCAAGCTTGGGAAAAGTTCTTTAAACTACTTGTTGGAGCCAAACTGTATAGTTTTTAATTGCCCCAAACAAAGTTTAAGAACGCAGTTCTCATATCATGTCCACAAGATGATCAAAGTTCGTATGATGCCACTTAAACTTCCCCTCTAAACACAGGGGTGTAGGTTGTAGCTGTGTTGGACTAAGGACATAGGCAGACAAGGTTCTTTGGGTGAATCTGATATCTTTCATTAAACGAACTTAAATAGTTGGAAAACAATTTTTAAGCAAGCTTTTGGGTTCAAAAACCCTTCATCAGGCTGAGGAAGTCTCTGCACTTGGTGTATGCTCTTTCTGGATGGAACGAAGAGTAAAGAAGCCAGAGGCCGGGCTGGTCTGCATGCAGTCAGTCAGTCAGGGCAGTCAGTGAAGATGGAGATTGAGGAGCCAATGGGTGAGAGACAGGCTGGGCGGGGGGAGAGAAGGGGGATGAATAGTGGAGAGATACCTGGGGAGTCAGATGTCAGGCAGGTTATAATGTGTCATAAATCCAATGTCTATATTTAGTCCATGATTTTTAGCATCCAGCAGGTTGACGAAGTGGAGTTCATAGGCTCGTCTTTGGGAAGTATTGTGTAAGTTTCCTTTGAGGATCAGGACTGAGAGACTGGGGGGAGAGTGGTTTTCTTCTGAGAAATGTGCCCCTACA